ATAGACTCACACTCACATTCACACCAACAAAACCAGCATCATCTTTCTTTTTTTCTTTTGTGATTTGGCTGTTTGTTTGGCTGTGGGTTTTTTTTGGTTGGATTTTGGTTGTTGGATTTTTTTTTTTTTTTTTTTTTTAATATTTGAACCGTATAGGTCTTTTTTTTAAGCCCAAATTTGGGGAAAATCCGGTTCTGTGCTGGGGAGCTCAATCATACATATCTTCATCTTACTATGGTTTGTCATTCCCTTTACTTTTTTTTTTTTTTTTACTTTTTTTTTTTTTTCCTTCTTTTGCCTTATTGTAAAAATAGCTTGAAAGAATTAGATCCTTTGAACTGAAAAGCAAACGCTACCTGAGCTTACGAAGATAAATTGGCTGCTCTGCTTAGGCCATTGGTAAATTTAGTTCCTTTTATGTTACACAGAGAAAGAGAAGGGAGTCATTAGAATTTATCTGTGGCAGCTAATCAAAGTGCAGACGTAGTGATGACAGCTTTTTAATACACTTGTCTGCTCATCTTTTTTACCAAGGCAAGAAGCACATGGCTGATTTCTGGGTGGGGAAACACACTGAGCAGTGACAGTGAGTATCTACACACGCTGCATGTAGCTGTTCACACTTCTCCTGCTCTACCACCATGTTCATGGAACCATGTACATGGAACCACGCCTTCTTTGGAGCCTTTTCATGTTCTGCCCACAAGCAAGGTTCATTTTGGGGAAATACGGGCATCTCTAAGTACAATTTGTATCTCTCCTATAGCTGTGGTCAGACACTCTGTCTGGCCAGTAGCTGCCCCTGGATTCCAGTCTCTGCTTTCGCTGGTACCTGCTCCTATGAGCCCCCAAGCATGCAAGTGCTGGCCCTTATACGCACAATCACAGAGTCACGTCTTTGCAAATAGCTGCCTGGGACAACCTTGGTCCTTTTGCTTTCCAGTTCCCACTCTAGTCCTGCCATCAGATACATACACACATGTGCCACCTATGTGTTTTTTTCCTACGTTCCGTGGAGTCCAGCCTGATGTTCACTAGCAATCATACAGACTGTCATACCCTGCCTTGCTCCTGTAGCTGGCATCAGAAAAACATGGGCCCATTTACCCGTGGCCTTCTTCGAGTTCCTAGTGCTTAAGTTCACTCACTCTGGTCTCTCCAGTCGCTGGTACCTGTGGTCTGTGGTCTGACTACAGTTCGTTACACATAGCCCCCCAAACACAAAGGACATGTACACAGACTAGAGTCCTTCACTCAGGGAAACTGTTACAAGTAGAACTTAATAAAAGGAAAGGGACAGGTAGAGGCATAGGGCATAGCCAGGCAAGCATACTCACTAGCAGCTTGCCCTTTCTATACCTTTATTCCTCTTTTTTCCCTGCATTCATTCCTCCCCAGATCACCTAAATCCCTCCATTGCCTTGCCTTTGGTTCTTCACATAACCGTCCACTAAGTCTGATGCAATCCCCAAGTGCTGTTTTCCTGATTCCCTTAGCATGTTCCATGCCTGTAGGCAGTAAGACCCACGAGACCCGGAAGTGATCCATAGAGCTGCTCGCCTTGATTCATGTGGATGGATTTCACAGCTGGACCATGGGGCTTATGGCTCTTTGGGGATAGCTCTGGGTAGAGCATAGACAGGCTGTTTCTTCAGCTCTGAAATTTGGGTTCCCACTGTAAGGAATGTTTCAGCAATTCGTGTCAATTGAGGGCTTGAAGGGTAAACCTTGTGTCTCTGACATCTCGGGGGAGAGGGGGGGGTTCAGCATAACTGCTAACTATTGTGACTATTGCATGCGACACTACACAAGTCTCTGATATCTGGCCAAGAGATTAAGGAGAAGGGGAAAGCTGAAGGACCACTAAAAGACAAAGCTTGCATGGGATGCTGCGCAAGTCTCTGATATCTGGCCTGGATGGACAAAGGAGAAGGACAAGGAAAAAGCCTGGGAGGAAGACTACGTGCCTTCAGCACAAGAGACCCCCAGAGGGACCACCAGAGACTGATATATATGCGCCAGTGGGAGAGTTCGGATTCCTTGAAATAGTTATAATAACCCTGCCTTTTCTAGAAGTAGTAATGAGTATGTATTAGCCTAGAAGCATAAAGACCATCCGCCTGATGTAACTTGTGTGTGTGTTGGAGGAGCCCACGCTCCCTGCACACCCAACGCTGTTTACTTGCCTTTTATTGACCCCATAAATAAATCTTATACAGCTAAATTGACTCAGAATTTATAACAAAACCGCCTCCCATTGTGCCTCGTGTCTCTTTGATTGTAGAGGTGAACCTTTGATGGGCTAATCACTCTTGTGTGGTAGGACAGGAAGAAGTGATGCTAGGGTGTCCCCCCGTCTGCCATCGCCTCTCTGCTTCAGTTTTTATTACATAACGTAGCATTTACCATTTCTTCAAAGAAAGGGAAGTTCACAGAGAAGAGCAAAAAGGTATCTTTAAGAAAGCATGGCTATAGAGTTGTATATTTTGGAGTTCTTCTAATCACAGGAAAAACAAAACAAACAAACAAACAAACAAACAAACAAAAAGAGTGGGGGCTGAAGAGAGTAGATGGTAAGAGCAAGGTCAGGGAAGCATCTGGGCACATGATCTGTGCTAGATCCTCCCTCCCATACTCCGCTTTACCACAATTTCTGAGAGACTTCTTTAGTGCCAGGATGGATCACTCACTGTCATGCCAGGATCCTAGCTTCTTCCTGGTCAACCACGCTGCATAAGTTTTACTTTGCTTCCAGGCTCTGCTCTAAAATAAGCTACACTCTTCTTGATTAGGGAGATACAGACGCATGACAGATACTTATGATAATTGTAGTCCTGCCCTGGGCATAGGGAGGGCTCTGAGGAGGCTAACTTTCTTTGTTACCCTGACTTAATGCAATCCAAAAAAGATATTTCTGAATGGGCCTGGCACACCATGGTAGTCAATGTTCTTACTTCAGGAGTTGTTCAGCAAGGAGTGTAGCACAGCGTTCCTTGCTCTCAGGGAGCACTCACCTATTTGTTCCTCAGAAAATTCTCGGGCCCCTGATCTACTCACTGTTTATATCAGGTAACAGACACACAGCAGGGAAGCACTGGGAAAGCATTGTCTCTCACAGACCCAGTTAGTTGGTAGCATTGGTGATAGGAAGATGGTTGGACTATATGATCTCATAGGTCCTTTCCAACCTTGTGTTTCTATGATTTTAAGGCATACATCAAAACAGCAGTGGCCCATGCAACTGTCTCAACATTGGATATGTCTCAACCTTTCTCATCCTAGCAGTGCTCAACCTAGAGCCACTGGAGAGCATACAAAGCTTTCGCACATCACATAGAATATACTTTCTTCCCCTCTGGGGAAAAAGTATAGCTGTTTGGGTCATTTCTGTGACATGAGAAAATGTCAAGTATCCATTAACAAAAGTCATATATTTTACGATGCTGAAATGGCATGAGAGACTAAATCAAAATGATCTTTTTATTTCATTAAGGATTGGTGGCACCATAAAGGTGGAAATTTCCATTCCTTAAAAAGGACAATCCCAAGATCAAGGAATACTCTACACTATTGGATTAACGATCTTGGGCTTTAATCAGCATACAGTTTTCTTACAAAGACTTTTAACACAAAAAAACAAATAAGGATTAGAGATACCCTCTGGAAAAGGATTTATAATGTTAATTGTAGTAAGCATGGCAGAAAGTATGAGAGCTATCTAAGTACATCACACACAAGTAGGGCAAAAGCATTTCCACGCTGAAATAGTGTTTATTTTGATTCTGCTGTGGATTTTTAATTTCATTCTCAAAAAAATACCACTGGCACAGAGAATGACTCTCATCAGACATTTTAAATATTGTTCCTGATGTCTAAATCTGATAACTGAATTTGGTAACTTATAGGCTACAAAGGCTGTCTCCCGTTCCCATTTTGCATGTTTATTAATGTTAGTTTACATAGCCTGTCTCTTCTTCCTCCTCCACCAACCAAACTTCATGGACAAATCAGAGCACAGGGAAGGGCATCAGAAAATGGTATAGACAGGAGCCCCAATTACTAAAACAGCCTCACTAGTTCATAGCATTGGTACATTAAGAAAACTAGTCCTAGGAAGAGGTTGCTTTCATTTCCCAAGTACAGCTCTCAGGAAAAGTTTAAACATATTGCTGGGTGCCAGGGTTGATGGGGAGAGTTCATGTTCTGACTGCTATTTTCTCCCATAGGAGTATGCTGCCGCCTGAGTGTTCACCACACTCTTTCAGATGTTTTAAGTAGATATATAGCACCTGAGTACATGCTGATAAACAGAAAGCATCTTCTGCTCCAAAATGGTTGTATACAACAGACTCAAAGACTCCTGAAGATGAGGCTACAAAATGTTCCAAAGTTCCTCTAGCTGAGAGGAACTACAAACATTTAATATTTTCCTGTGGCGGCCTTACCTTGCTGTGAATCTGATCTCCACCACAACCTCTCTCTCACTCACTCCCCCTTCCTGGAAAAAGAGGGGAAGAATAAAGTGTGCTCAAAAGAATACAAACAAACAAAATAAAACTCACAGATTACAGGAGAATTTAAGTGAAAAATGAAGAAAGAAAACTAAAAATAAAAAATAATAAATAAATAAATAAATAAATAAATAAATAAATAAATAAATAAAAACAAATCAAAACTAAAACAAAAACAAAAACACAACAACAAGCAAAGACTGCATGGAAGACAGAGAGAGAGAAAATAAATTACTATTTCCCATCAACGTGTCCTGTTCGGCCACATCCCAGGAAGCATGGCCTCAGTACATGTAGTGCTTGCTTGGGAGGACAGACATTTATGTAACAAGAGCCCTCCCATGCCCCGCTTCTCTTTTCCCACCTTTTATTGCTGAGTGTGACATCATACGGTATGGAATATCCCTTTGGTCAGTTTAGGTCAGCTGCTCTTCTCCCTCCTCCGACCAAGCTTCATGGACAAATCAGAGCACGGGGAGGGGCATCAGTCTCTAGCCTCTTCTCTCTTAATGCACACTGTTCTGGAACAGCTGCTCCTAACCATGCTGACCATTTTGCTTGCTCTTCTGCCTGGTGAGAGACAATAGATCCAACTGCAGCGTCATCCAGGCCATGCTGGACTGGTGTGAGGTGAAGGGCCATTTTTGGCCACTGTCCATACTTCTTCTTCTCATTTTCACTTCTTCTCTCTGACTCATGCAGGTGCTGGGGTTGGAAAACTCATCACACAATGGCCAGAGGAAACCCTCAAGAGAGCTGGAGAGACTGTGGACATCTCCTGTTACCAGAATAATAGCCACCAACTTGCCTATATGTTCTGGTACCAGCAGCCTCCAGGGAGTAGCCTTAAGTTAGTAGCCAGCACTTCTCTGTGGTTGCAGAAGTCTTATGCAGAAGGTTACAGTGAGGCCAAGTTTGAGATCAGCAGAGACAACAGTGAACTCTCTGTTATGACTATCAAGAATGTGACACGCAAGGATGCAGCCACGTATTTCTGTGCTGCGAGTGATCACACGGTATCGTGAGGGGGTTGAGCGCTAACATAAAATCCCCACCTTGCCAGAATGGGAGACAAAGTCTCTGAAAAATGTGAGACAGATTGGAGAGGGGCAGAGGAAGAGCAGAAGGAACTCAAGGGCAAAGTAAGTTAATGGAACCGGGACTCTTTGGAGGGAAGAGGGTCAAGCAAACCAATGCAGCAGCACCTAGTATTTTTGAAGACAAAAACCCTTTAGACATACAAACACAGAGGTCGGCGTTAAGAATTGAGGCACTGCTGGCGTGGTTAGTAAAAGGCAGCAGATACTTCTCAGGACTAGTGCTACAGCAGCACAGGCGTGTTCTGGGCCACTAGTCCCCACAGCAGGCCCTACCGTGGCACCAAGCAGAGAGAGAGGGTGGTAAGAGAAGGTTGGCTGTTGAGGGAGGAGAGCCCAGCCTCTGGCAGTGGACATGGGAGGCTGACACCAGTCCAGGTGGGAGGAAGCATACCCAGGGCACCAGGCATTCAATCCACTGTGGAGAGGGCAGCCCCTTGGCAGCTTCACAAGTAACAATGTGCCCTGGCAGACACTTTTAGCCACCTGCTCCACACACCTCTTAACTGCCACAGGAACGCATACAGTTCTGAGCAGGACTAAGGCACCTCCTAATGGCAAAACTGCATGGCCAGAGAAAGGAAACCGCAAAAGGCTGCTCTCACATGGTGCATCCATTGTGACGGACATCAGTAGGCAGAAACTGAAGACATTTTGGTCAGAGTGTTGCCTAACTAGGCTTCCAATTTCCGTATCCCACCTCCTCCTTTTAAGGCTCCCTTCCAGACCCAGGGAAGGAACTGTCCATCACCCCCGTGTGGAAGCACATGGTATGTGGGCAAAGCTGTGGTCTGGTCTGCTCATGGGAACGTCAGGCACCTCGGCATTGGTACATGGGACACTAGTACTGTAGGCAGTCAGTCAAAAAGGAGCTGCAAAACAGCACATCCTTCAAGCAGCACTCTGCACCCTAGGTGGGGCCTCCCGGTACCCACTTCCTCCCGAGGCCTCAGGAAACCCACACTAAAACACAAGACTCCCTCTCTCACTCTTTTTTTTTTTTTTTTTTTGTTTTGTTTGTTTGTTTGTTTTTTTAATTTACCAGTTTTAAAAACAGATCATCCACTCTCAAAGGCATACATGACATCGCAGGGGGCTGGGTTGGTAATCTCCTTAGAGGGAAAAGGTCTCTCAGACAGTCTCTGTGCTACCTGCTTACGTCAAGCAGCGGACACTCCTGACCCCTTCCCAGACTAATGCCAGAGCTTGCAGCAGAAGTCCTGAATCCTTGTTCCTAAGTCCTTGATGACAGACATATAGTGAAAGTACTGCATCCGAGTCCCTCCCTATTCTCCGTGAATCCCAGTAATGAAGAGGGCACACCTGTAGGCGCAATGGTGCTGGAGCTCATGGCACAAACAGATCTCAAATGGAAAACTCAGAGATCATCCAGGAGACAGGCCCCATCAGAAAAGAATTCAGGCTGTTCGTCGGGAACTCTGAAGGATGAACTGACTCCTTTGTGTTCAGGTTCAAATTAGAACATCTTCCCTCCCTCCCTCCCACCTCTTCCTCTTTCTCTAAGATGAGGAAGCTCTCTGTGGAATGTAAATGCCCTCTTCTGATCACTGTGGGTGAACATCCCACAGGCCCATTTTTCGGGCTCTTTCCAAACATAAACTCCTGGGGTGGGTCCAACTCTCGAGGTGCAAACAATTCTCTCATTGAGTGCAGTGGCACTGCAGCAGAATGCTGGTGGCTCCAGGGGCATGGGAGAAAGGAGGGTTGCTAAATGGAGAGCAGCCGTGTTGGGTATTATCAGTGGTCTGTCAATGACAGCTTGCATTTCTAGAGATACTTTCTCCTAGTTCAGGCATTTCAGTCAGATGTGTCATCACTGTACTCAGATAAAATAGGTAAATTTTTCCAGTCTGATGCAAGATCCTGGGAAAGGGAAAGCTGGAGAGACCATGGGCTGACAAAGATAAAGCTCTCCAGGAGCATAAAGCAGAGGAGTTTCTGAGGCTAGTCCTCATCCACATCACAGAGCTTGGTCGTGGAGGCACCATGCATTCTCTCTTCCTCCTTCTCTCCTGCCTGGGAGCCGCTGGTACGTTCTCTAATGATACTGATCTTCTAGCTACCTGCACACCTGAGCAAACCTTCTCTCACAGGCTCTTGCCTTGTCCTCTCTACTGGCCCTTCTCTTTCCCCAGTAGCATGACATTCTGTTTTTCCTCAATTTCCACCCATGTCAGAGACATAGACTCTCAGCCTCCTAGAGAGGTGGAGAAGGTAGGACAAGACAAGGATGCATAAAACAATGCAGGGCTTGCTGTCTCCTTGTCTACAAGAACTAGGGAGCATGAAAGAGAGCTAGGCATTTGGGCAGGTTCAAAAACAGCAAAGGACATGGCCTGAAAAAATCTGGGGGGGGTGAAGGTGGGTTAGAGGGGAAGAGGATGGGACAGATGGTCGGGCAACACATTTGTGAAAGAGAAGTCCATTGCGGTTTTTGAAGTCATCTTCTGCTCCTTGCCTCTGTAATGGATGGTCAGAGGCAGGATCCCAAGTGGGTTCTAAAATGGGGTGCATGCACCTCTGGGGTTGTGCATTATAGTGTGGGAGGAAAACATTTGAAGTTCAGTAGGGCAAGTACGTAACTTTGAAATGAACAAATAGACATATGTCAGGGCTGTGGGAAGGTGTTTTACTGATACGGGTATGCAATCAAAAAGGCTGGAGACCACTGTTCTGTTGGCTTCAACAAATACCATCTTTCTTACATTCTGCTGTGACATCATCCTCCAACTCTGTGAAGCCTTTGTGTTCTCTCTGAATCCTTCACTACCAAGTTTTTCTACCTCTCTTGCTCACCCTTTGTCTCACCCCTGCAAATGAAGAAGTTCTCTCAACTGCATTTGCCCGTTTTCCATACGCTTTCTACCATGGCACAGCTGTCTCATCCCAACCCAAAGGTGCCCCGGAAGGAACACAGTGAAGGCTGCGTACATTTCATTTATGAAGTTTTTTGGCAGCTTGTGCTCTCCTGTTCTCTTCCTGACTTCAGGTGGTACAGACAAAGCCTGGTGTTTCAGAGTAGTGCAGAAAGAACTCAGCAGGATATTTCAGGAGTTGCCTGAAGACTTCTGAAGTTTCAAGCTGTCTTGGCTCTTGCTCATTCTCTGTAGCTCACTGGCTGCTGCTACACTTTAAGAGAACGGATTCAGGCATGGTGCTGTGAAACCCAATTCTCTTTTCCTCAGTTGCTTTCCCTAGAGCTGCTGATGATGACAAGATTGTGGGAGGCTACAACTGCCCAGAGCATTCAGTTCCCTACCAGGTGTCCCTGAATGCTGGCTATCACTTTTGTGGAGGATCCCTCATCAACAACCAGTGGGTCCTGTCAGCTGCTCACTGCTACCAATCGTACGTATGGCTTGGGTTGTTTATCTGGGTGGATTCTGCTCAAATCTTACAAACCTACCACATCTAGAACGCCGGTGCCTCTCAAGAGAAGACCATGCATGCATGGGGGGAGGGACAGGGGCGGGGCAATGCATGGTGTACCTGAAGCCAAAGGAGAAACCCTAGCCTCAGTCCTGCTGTGTTACATGGTCTTTCCAGTATTCCTGCACTCCTAGCATCCTTTTCTGTGCATCCTAACATGCCCTTCGGTCTACATTTGCACATCCATGGGGCTTACTATTACTGCTTTTTTCTTTCTCATTCCTCCAGACTTTCTCCATTCTCTTTTCCTGAGTTTAGGGCACATTTCTGTGCAGAGGGAGAAACAGGAAACTGAATCTCCTTTTCTTGCCTATCTGGCAATGCTCTTCCAACTCAGTCTTCCATGAAATCATGAAGTTCCTAGAGCTGCGTGACACACAAACCATTGATTAGCACAGCACTCCCTTACTCGCTTTCAAGTGTCTGCCGGTCCCCACGTGGCAGCCAGTTGTTCTACCCATGGCTAACTGCTGCTTTTCTCTGCTGACAATTTTGCAGCCGTATACAAGTGAGGCTGGGAGAGTACAACATTGATGTGCGGGAAGACAGTGAAGTAGTCAGGAGTCCTTCCGTAATCATTCGCCATCCTAACTACAGTTCAAGAACCCTTAATAATGACATTATGTTGATCAAGCTGGCATCCGCCGTGGACTACAGTGCCGACGTTCAACCCATAGCCCTGCCCACCTCTTGTGCCAAGGCGGGGACGGAGTGCCTGATTTCGGGCTGGGGAAACACACTGAGCAGTGGCAGTGAGTATCTACACACACCGCATGTAGCTTTCACACTTCTCCTGCTCTACCACCATGCTCGTGAGACCCATGTACAGTTCACCCCTTCTTTGCAGCCTTTTCTTGTTGTGCCCGCAAGTCCTCCACGCTGCCCTGACTTCACGCTGCCCTGCCAGTGTGTCTCAATCTACAATGCACTTCACTGTTTTACTTTACCCTGCTCGGCTGGATGGCTCTCGCATATAGGTCGTTGGTCTTTCTGATCACTGACAGTACTGAGTCCCAAGACAAAACCTAAAATTGTTACTGCTCTCCCGGCAGCCTATTACCCTGAACTCCTCCAGTGCCTGCAAGCGCCAATTCTGACTAACCAAGAGTGCCAAGATGCTTACCCGGGTGAAATCACCAGCAACATGATCTGCATAGGATTCCTGGAGGGCGGGAAGGACTCATGCCAGGTAGGAGTTGATGCCTGCGCAGAGCCCTGGGCCACACACTGCCAGGGTGCCCCAGGCTGCACGGTATACATCGGAGCTTGGCAGCCTGCTTAGCTTCAGCCTCCTTCTCGCCAGTTGCTCTCTTCTGACGCACCCTTTGCAGCAGGCTTTGGGTGCAGGGTGGACTTCACTGAAAACTGCAGGCCCAGCCGCATATGCTGGTTGGCACTGAGCACAGTACCAGTGAATTTTGGGGGGGCTAGGGGAGGCCAGCAAGCAAGGGGGGGTATCTCTCTGTGCTCCCATATCAGGGCCTGCTGTGCTTTGTTTTGCATTCCCTGGATTCTTTGTGCCAAGTCAAAAACTTTCTGGGTGAGATTCTGCTTTTAAATCATCTTGTGCCTCTAAATTTTCCCCTCCAGTGTGACTCAGGTGGACCAGCTGTGTGCAACGGAGAACTCCAGGGCATTGTGTCACGGGGAATCGGGTGTGCTCTGCAGGGTTATCCCGGTATCTACACCAAGGTCTGCAATTATGTTGATTGGATCCAAGAGACCATTGCAGCCTACTGATACCTTGACAACCACCTGGCTCCTTGGCCACTACCCTCCCGCCCTAATGCTTTCCCTAAGAAGACAACAGCACAAATAAATTCCTAACTTAAAGAGCCTTACAGACATTTACTTTGGGGACTGTAGCTCGTCAGAGACAAGTGGGGTTCCCTGCAGCCTTCCACCAGCTCCTCCTGAACCTTCCGTGCTGTTCCGGTTCAGGTGTGTGCACTGGGAGCAGCACCCTAGAGCTGCTGGGCTGTCAGGCTATGGAAATATGGTACTATTCCACCATCCAAGAAATCTTCTGAGCCAGGCACCTCCTTTTCTTTGCTCTTGGTCCTCTTACTGAGAAAAGGAGCAGGTCTCTGGGGAGCGGGTTCCTACAGCAGCAGAGCAGAGTTCCATTTTGCTCCTGCCAGTGGCAAAGTTTTCTTCTCACTGGCACCGTAACAGCTTTGATGGTGGCCATTACTGCTATGGCACTAGGTGGGACAGCAGGCAGAATCCAGAAGCACAGAGCAATCAGGCTACAGGCAACACCTGTGGGCAGTGATATGTTCTCCTTCACTTGCTCCAGGACATTCGAGACAGGCGGACTGTGTCCACCAGGGTCCAGCAGGTAACACAGACTAGCTGCTAGGGAAAGGCAGCCAACAGCAAACAGGGAAAAATACCCCAGGCATGAACTGCAGTGTAAAGCATTGAGGGAAATCAGTTAAGAAAGGAAGGACAGAGATCAGCTTTGGCAGATGTTTGGGGCTGCAAAAGGACATAGTCCATGGATGAGTTCCAGTTTTAAAGTGGTGTATTTAACCTATTTAATCCAGCACATGATCTGTAGAGGGTGGCAAGAAAGATCTTCCCCAAAGCACCCTGAGGCAGTGTAAACTGGGCCACTACGGAGCAGCTTTAACCTCTCCAAACCTAGAAACTGCCTCTTTGTTGTGAGAATCTGGGATAGGGAGTTTGTAGGGGGAAAAAAGTGAGGCCTAGGAGGGACTGGGAAAAGTGCAAAATTCTTCTAAGGGTGGTGAAGTGGAGAGTTGGGTGGTCTACAAATGTTAGGAAGGAATTTAGAAGTGGGAGCTAGTAAGTTTGGCATAGTGAAATAGAATGAAGGAGGAGGGGAAACTCATACCACATTAGCAGATGCAGTTGTATCAGAAATGGAATAAGAATGGACTGTTTGGGTATGAGAGGTGTGAAAGAATGTGCATAGGACTGACTGGGCAGGGGATCTGGGATGGCAAGCCCCAGGTGGAAGGGTTTCTGCAAGAATTGTCTCCAGTCAAGTTCCAGGGCTACTGGATGAAACTGGCATGAGATGCTTTACATCCATTAAAGCCAAGAAGCCATCTGATGGTAATCGCACACAGCCACAGTTTAGCTGGACAATCCCAGTTGTGGCGTTAAGTGTTAAGCATCTGTCGAGCTTTGGAAGTGGGCTGCCATTGCCTTCGTTGCATTGCAGCCATCATTTGTCCCTGTCACGACTGGAAAGCCAGTACTTACTTGATGTTCTCATTCAAAATATTAGCCTCCAAATCCAACAGAAACTTCTGTCGAGCAGCTCTTACTGTTTCCAGCTGTCCTTAAACACCATTCCCTCAATAGGAAGCATTTCCTTGATCCTTTGATCCTCTTCCACTTAGGCAGGAGACATCAGCCCTCTGGTCATTGCCACCTCTCTTCTTATAGTCCCTATTTTATTAAAGGGGTGATCTCACTGCTTTCCCCAAGACTTACTGTTGGGTAGAGCTGAAACTGGTAGCCCAACAGAGGGGTGGCTGCCATGGCCTCACACACCCAGGCCCAGACAGCAGCAAGGCTGAGAATATGTTCTCAGTAGGCACGCATACATGCAACACATGCATACCTACATACGCAGCCAAGCACACAGATCAACACAGACTGACATACTCAGCAGTCACGCCAAGAAAATCAGCATCAATGGTCTCACCTTAGACATCTTCATTTTCCTTCTTTTAATTGTTTTTCTAATGTTTGCAGTTTATAGGCTTTTTTTTTTTTTTTTTTTTTCTTTTTTTCCAGATTTAGGGAAAATCCAGTAGTTCAGGATCTGAACTGGTAAGCTCAATCATACCTATCTTTATCTTACTATGGTTTGGCTTACAAAACATACAAAGCATTAAAAAAAAAACAAAAAAAAAAAAACATACAAAGCTTTCACGCATCATATAGAATATATTTACTTCCCTTCTGGGAAGAAACTATAGCTGTTCAGGTCATTTCTGTTTCCTTCTTTAAAAAGCAGGGTTAAAAAAGAGAGACAGGGAATATTCACTACCAATTCTTCTGGGATGTACACCACTCTTACAGGCAGAGCATGCCCTTTCTACAAATCTTTGAAGGCCAAGGGACAGGTATGAACCTCGTTGAGCTTCAGGCAAATACGTGAGGCATAACACCAAAAAGGGTGGAAAAAGTGAAAACCTCAGTAATATTGCTTGGAAGAAGTAACATCAGGACTAATGAAGAGGGTTACTGCAGTCAAAGACCTACATTTCAGTCCAACAGTCCTGTGAAAGTTCTAGGAAAACCAGTTTATGCCAGAATCACTATGGAATATAAACACCATGATGGCAACTTTGGGAGTGTTTTGGTTTTTTTTTTCATCTCCTTTAATAAGTTACCAGTTCCTGAAATTCATAATATTACAGTCCTAGTTCAGACCTCTCCCTTAAACATTGAAAAACAGTTCTATTAGCTTGGGAACATAAGCAAAAATCTATTTCTGAGCTCCCAGTTACGTTTATTATTATTATTATTATTATTATTATTATTATTATTATTATTATGTGGGAAATACAATTGAAAGAGCCTTTTAAAGCAAATTATCAGTAGCCTTCATTCCAGTAAATAAATGAGCTGGTTATTGACTGGTCACAGCTGTGCAGTTTCCAGTTGCAGTGGGAAACCATCCATATCTCTAGTGGACTTTGTCAATTGAAGTTCTGCAGCCACAGTGCCCAATTCCAGCTCTGAGGTCAAACTTGATCCTAGGCATTGGTTCTTTTGCAAGCTTGAGGTGGCACTGAAAATAACCTGCTATTCTAAGAATAGTTTATCATGAAATAGCTATTTTCCTTGTCTCATTCCCTGTCCTTATATTAATTCTTCTTCAACTCCTGCTGTAGTGGAGTTTAGGGAAGCTGTAATTACAGAAACCACAGTCAAAGGTACCTGTTGCATATGTCCAGCAATGACATTCCAGACACAACTGTGTAAACTGTTGTATATGCACAGTGTTGTATATTCACAAAAATAACAATTTGTCAGTAATAGCCTACCAGCAGTCTAGAAATTGTTCTGGCTACTCAAAAGATAATATGGTGGAAGGTGAGGATATGTAAAGTCACATCCCATGCAGAATTTGCCAGACCACCCTATGTATGTATATTTACTTTCCTTCCATTCTCTCCTAGCCTGTGTATACTTAAGTTTTGTATTAGAGTCACTGGTTTGCACCCAAATTTTACTTTAGTTTTACTACTAAGGAACAATATTGTTTCCCAAATGCCCATCTGCTCCCAAGCTAGTGCCTATACTGGGCAATTAGCACAAGGTCATCTGTCCTGTTATTTCTGTTCTGTCAGCTCTTGTACCACAAGAAGCCTGAAGAACAGCATCTGTAGTCGCAATTTTTCAGCTTTTTCTTCATTGTCTGTTCTAGCTACTCAGACTTTTTCTGCCTTTCTCCTTTTAGAAAGTCAAGCTTATAAGTCTTGGAATGAGGAAACTGACTTTTGCTTACCCAGCTAGGAAGCTTGATCTCTCTGTTCTCCACTATGCAGCGCAATTATGCTCTGAAAAAGGGCTGTTGCTTAATTTTAGGGGTTCATTGTCTGAAGTACTGAACATTTGTGAAACAAACTTCCTAGTGCTCCTAAGACAAATTTATAAAGCTCAAGATTTCTCTGTATTTTGCTTCTTCTGTGTATTAGAGAGTAATCCAAGACAGGCATAAGCAATGAGATCGTTATTTCCTTTGAAATTCCCTCACTAAAATGATACTGTTTTTACATAATATGGCCTTAAATGTTTCTTGTTGACAAATCCTTACCTTTCCTTCTTGGCTGAAGTTTTACACATGAAGCCTCCTGTAAGATACATGGAAACCCAAAGCAAGAAACAGTCTTTGCTTCCCTCCCACTTGTTTGAATTCATGGCCTACAAGGCCTTTCCTTTTGAGGAGGGATGAGGGGGAATGCAAGGGGGGGGGGGGGGAATGGTGGGAACTAAAATTGAACTCTAAAGTGGGACAAGACTGCTGTCTGCTGGCACTTTTGGAAATTACCTCATAATAGTGACCATCTATGTGATGCTAACATCACATAGGAATACTCCTTCAAAATTAATACAGAAGAAGTGGTTTGAATGGTTTTAAACGAAAGACACAATGTTGGAGAGAGTCTGCTAATGACAAAAAGGACCATAATGGAGCTGTAGACTGGTAAAGGAAACAGAATAATCTTAAAGGGATTTCAGTAGAATGGTTTTAGACCCTGAGTAAACACTGCTGACATCAGAGACAGAATTAGACCAAGGCAGGCAAATAATATCACACTATTAGTGTTATCATGTAGGCAGAGACAGACCAATAAAAAATGCTAAATGTATTTTTAAAATAACTCAGTCCAAACAAAGACAAATGTGTGCCATCATTCTTATAATTGGCAAGTTAAACATACAGGCAAGTTAAACATACAGGGCATCACCTACCACCTGTCCAATATTTTAAATGGCTTTCTCTAGTCTTCTGTTTTGGTCCTAAATGTTTCAACTTACTCTGACTTTCTCATTCACCTCCCCTGGGGACATAACAGCTGTTAGGAGCTTAGCAGAACAGCACAAAAGTAAAAGAAATATTTTGCTATGAGAGCTATCTATTTTCAAATAATTGTATGTATCCTATAGTAACTGACTGCTATTTATATCAAGACAGGATGGAGTGAAACCATTAGAATGCAACATGAATTGTAGGTATTCAGTAATGTTGCTAACTATGTTCTGACTATTTACACAAGAAGATGAGGCCTGGATCAGCTAAGCATGTCCTAAACCTAAATTTGTTTGTTCATGCTCCTGTCTCTCCCTGTATTGCCTCAATGTCTGTTGGTATACACAGTTGCACTGGCACAGATCTTCCCCTCTTGGAAGCTACATCATACCTGGGCACACCTAAGGGGAAAAATGCAGTTTTGTTTCTTCATTTAATTACGCGTGTGAGAGAGAAAAATAATAATAAAGTACCCTTCCACCTTAAAGTTCCCACCACCATAAAACAGTCTCCAACATGAAGGTATGCTTGTACTCCTAGATGAAGCTTTTTTGTAGTCATAGATACTCAGGAGAAGATTATATTTCTGCTTCCTGGAACAGGGTAGTCAGAGGAGTAAAAACCTAAGAACTCAACATCATACTTCTCACCCTTTCAGAGCAGCCAAAAAATATTGCACAGACAGAAGAGGATATTCACAACCAGGCAAGACTACAAGTATAAACACCAGTCTGTAGTAAGCAAATCAATCTCAGTGCAAAACAATTACAGTGGGTTTGAGTTCTGCTTATCATTCTGTGTTGGAAGAGTGAGAATGAAAGCACCGTAAGCACTACCATGAAGTTGCATGGTGAAAAATAACTGCATATAAAACTAGTTAATAAAATGGGAAGAAAAAAAAAAAAAAAAAAAAAAAGACTAATTTTTGTCTATAGGAAAAAAAATTAAAGTCGGAAATATAGATTCTGGGATAATGGATACACTAAGAGGTAATCAGAATATCTCACAGAAAAAAAAATGGCAGTGGAAGGAAGGGGCCTGTGGTTGCCACAACTTCTCATGTTGGATGACAAAATGTGAGGGTGGAGACATGTGGGATTGTTTTTGTATGAGGTTGTATCGTTGTGGGGACAGGGGATCCACAATGATATATTCTCCAGGAGGTCTTTACAAAAACCCATATGTGCATAAGCCTCAGGGGAGAGTGTATTTAGACAAATACAGAGCATTCTGAAGCACAGTGGGCATGTTCTGTCTTGGTTTTTCCTGACAGACCCAGTATGCTGAGACTTACTTTTGTCATCTGAGAACTGCAAGCCTAAGCCTATCCTGTCTAGAAGACAAGCCAGAAGATTCTGGGATGACTTTGAAATAATTTTCAACAAACCAGATTGATTGGAGATGCACCTAAAACTTATCAGAGTATGTGAAACACACAACTAATATTTTTTCTGATGCAATAATGCCCCCACCCTCCACCTCATGACCCCCTACCAATTGTTCTTTGCTAACATGACCAAAGTGTTAGGAAAAAAATCTGAAAAGTAGCAGGTATCAGTCAAAGGCAATATATAAAATGGTGTTGGGGCTTTCTCTGGGCAAGTCTCCAGTGTCCACTAAGACATGCTTGTCAGGGCAATTTTCTTTTCTCAAATCCTCCATTCTTTCTCATTGCAGTTTTTCCTAATGGATGCAAAAGGGTTTGTCTGAGATTAGCCAACAGATTCTTCTGGACTGTACTTATGTAGATTACTTTTAACCTATCAGGAATTTTAATGGGATCTTGCAAGACTATTTAAGATGTCTGGCCTGCCGCTGAAGGGAAAACAAATGAGTTTGTTTTAATTCAATATCACAAAGCTGAAGCACCTATATGAAAACACATGACCATGACCACCACAAAACAATGTGATTATCAAGCTTCACAAGCTACAGAAATGAAGGCTTCCCTATGCTTAGAGTACTAGGCTGACAAAACTGAAGCTGTAGTTGCAGAGGAATTATATTTGTAGACTTTGACAGCCTCTGGTATTTTGGGTACCTCTGTATGGTTTCTATGTCTTCAAAATAAGAGCAGAAGGTGACACCAATGAGAGAAAATGGAGATTAGGCCATGAAACAACTGGAGGTGAAATGTAGACAACAAAAATAAGTATCAATAAACTCTGAAAAGTGCTCTTATAAATGTAACAGATTATACAATAGAATTTCAAGCTGGTGTTCTGCCATAGTCCTTCAGAGACTGAGGACATCTTTGGGTTTCCAGATACAGTAAACATTACCTAAGTTTCTGCTTACTAAACTCAACTGCAGCACACCCATTTTCTTAGCTTATAATACAACAGTTTGTCAACGTGACCAACACTAAGGTGATTTTTGGTTTTGGCACAAAAGTTACAGTGATGGGTAAGAAAGTTTTGTTTTCTCTCTAAATAACTTTCAAATCCCTTAAAACTTTAAAGTTCTTCTTTTCAGATAATTTCATCTTTATCCTCCTTTTCATCATTAAGCTGGTGTTTTACTAATGTTCTAATATCCCTGTCTGCTTTGGAGACCAGATTAAGTTTGCTGCTCTAGTTAATTACATACATTTCACTTTGGAGAACAAAGGCATCTTCTGTGAATAAAGGACTGTCCATAAAAAAGATAGACGGGTTGAAAAATATGTGCATGTTATCACTGTATCTTCTTAATAAATCAGCATCTGCAAAAATCATTATTCTTGAAAGTATAGCTCTGCCCCCATAATGCTAGTTCTCCTGGGTTTCCAGGTTATCCATAACAGTTGTCTAAGTTATGTTTACATTTAGGGCAGGTCTAGAAAACAAATCAAGAATCTACAAACGAATTACTTTGAATCTTTTGAGGGTAAACTAAAACATGTTATCTCAGATGACTGGGAAAGACAAATAAGTATACTACTGTTTTTGGTTAACAAACAGAAGCAAAAATATTCAGCTTTATCGTAACCAATAATATCAGCTGTCTGCAGCTGTTTAATTTCTAGTTGTTCTAGAAAACTATTGTCCATAGCATAGCAAGTTTTTCTTCCACAGAGCACATTTATCAGGATGATAATAAAAATTACTCTTACAGTTTTTACTATTATTATTATTACTATTATTAAATAAAAATACTATTCCTGTTACTATAATTACTATTTCAGAATAGATTCTGAAAGGCCACTGAAAATCACCAAAAGAGAACGTGTGGTTCATTTCGAATAAAAGTAACTCCTGTAGAATATTTTTATCTGGGCCACACTTCTGGATTTGGACTGTTTCCAAACCCAAGGGAAAGCAAGGCTGTTTCTGAGACTGATTAATGATAGTGATCTCTCCTTCTCATTATTATTCCTGGAATTAGAAGAACCTCACACTTTTATACCAGACCCTTCCTCACAGAGAAAAATGCTTTCAAGTGATAAATTTTAGTCTTCATAGGAAAAATGGAGGCTCTTCCTCAGACATGATCAGACATTAAAAAAAAAATAAATACAGTGCAAATCAGTGGTTCTGATGGAAATATTAAAAGTTTATTTTACAAGAGAGTAACATTCACTAGATTGAAAACAAAATGAGGAAATAAGGAACTGAGTCTGTTCAGCAGAAAATAATCAAAGAAAATTGCTCTGTCTGCATCTGAGAAATATTTTCTAACACTGCATGTGTACTCTAAAGAAATGGTGAAAGCTGCAGCAACTGATTCACCTAAGCCTGAAGAAGAGAGCTCTGGAAGAGTTATTTCTTAGATTGGTTTCACTGGATCAGACACATAGATGTACTTGCTGTTCCTTTACACATCTTTTTTTTTTTTTTTTTTTTTTTTTTAAGGGGACCATGAATTAATGAGCTCCTAGTTTCAGTATTTGCTAGTTCTGCATGAGGGAGGGTTAGTCCAGAGGTTTGGCTCAGAGGACTAACAGTAGCAGAGAGGTTTTACTGCAGCTGCAAAATAGTGTGAATAATGAAAAACTGTTCTTTGGCACTGGGACAAAACTCACTGTCATAGGTAAGACAAAAATCAGATCTCTGTATTATGCATGTAATACTGTTTTAGGGGACAAGAACATTTTTAATTCACAGCAAAATAATGATCATGTTTCACTCATCTATGATGACAGAATTAATGATTTATTGGTTGTTTATTAGAAACACAAAAGTGTAGGGTTGTCAGGCACCAATTTTTAGACTGTTTTTACTGTGAAATTCATGATGGGAGAAAGGGAAAAAAAAAACACTGCTCCCATTGTTCAAGAAAACATTACAGAGTTTGAAAATGAAGGGTTCTTCTTTAGTCTGCAAGGTGTTTTTTGTTTGTTTGCTTGTTTGTTTGTTTTTCAGTTCTTCTGCCCTGCTGTCTAACAACCAAAAGCAAAATTTCAGGGATATTGTCAAGTTCACAAGTATGCTTGTGGTGGCTCAGAATCAGGCAGGGAAGGTGCAGTCTTGCTGGTATTTTGCTTCCCTCCCCATAGATGGTAGGCAGGCTGCCTGAAATTGCACTGGGACACTGTTTCCTTTTAACATTCTTTTTCACTGTTAAAAAGGATATTTTAAAAAGTCTGTATTATCTTTCTCTTACTTTTCTGACAAGAGTGCACTTTTCTCTACTATTCATTCTCTTCTTCCCTATATGCTTTCTCTGCCTTCTCCCCTCCAAGGAAAGGATTTAGCATGACCTGCTCTGTTAATACCATCTTCCTTTAACATCAAGGCAGTTCTGTTGAGCATTTTTGAATCACAGGACAAAACAACCTTTTCACTCTGCCTCTGCCAGCTCTAATAGCAAACTGTAGAAATACAGATGGGCTTGATCCTTTAAACATTCCCATTTTGGGGAACTAAGTAGCAGACAAAAACAGGAAAAGGCCCTTTTGTGTTACTGGTGTAACACAAATGGTGTAATGGTGTACACCTGTGCTTTTTGACTGTACCAGTTATATTTAGAGTTGGCACTGTGTTCAGAGTTATATTTAAGCTCAATGTGAAGGACATTTGAAAAATTTCCTTGTATTAATGATACATAACATATACACAGATGATTTTCAAATGGGAGTAGAGGTGAAAAATAGCAAGATATTATTAAAATGATCTTAGGGGAATGGGAGACCAATGTGGAAGATCAGAACAGAATGGGCTGTTGATATATATATTTTTCTAATTCTCTCTGCTCTTGCTTATGTCAGTCTCCTAATTCTTTATTCCATTTCAAGTATGCTCATCTCATTTTTTTTTATTTCAATACTTTTTTCTTTCTTTTTTTTTTTTTTTCTGTCAGCCTTTTTCACTACCTTCCTTTCTCTCTCTCTCTCTCTCTCTTTTTTTTTTTTTTTTTATTTTCAGATGTTGAATCTTTCTCACTATTCTCTTCTGTTCTCCTCATCTGTTTCAGTGTCTTCACTTTTAGCCACTGGGGCTGTGAGACAATGAACTTATGCTAGAAAGAATTTTAAGATTAAAAAAATAAATCATCAAGCCATGTACTAGAAGGAGCAGTAAAAGTGATCAGCCTTACTTTTGGAAGGAAAGAAGTGCCAAACTTGCTAGTGAGCTATGAATGTAACTATCTAGTTACCTCTTCTGAGGTCTGTATGAGCTCATGTTTTCGCAGAAAGGCCTAAGGTTCTTTGTAGAGTAGGCAATGACAATCATGATTAAGGCTAGCAGTTGAAAGAAAACTCCAGGGCTTATGGGTCAAGATCTATGCAAGATAAATTTCTGTTTATTTATGTATGTCCACTCCAGAAAGGAGGGAATGTTCAGGAAGATCATCCATAATGTATTGTAGAATCATAGAATGGTTTGGGTTGGAAAGGACCTTAAGGACCACCTAGTTCCAATCTCCCTGCCATGGGCAGGGACACCCCCCACTAGACCAGGCTGCCCGGGGCCTAGCCCAACCTGATCTTGAACATTTCCAGGAATGGGGCATCCACAGTCTGCCTGGTCAACTTGTTCCAGTGCCTCAACACCCAGAGTGAAGAATTTCACTCCTAACATCTAATCTAGATTTCCTCTCTATTAATTTAAAATCATTCTCCCTTGTCTTATCATTATCTGCCCAATCAAAAAGTTGCTCTCCATCTTTTTAATAAGCACACTTTAACTCTTGAAAAGCTGCAATGAGGTCACCCTGGAACCTTCTCTTCTCTACGATGAACAACCCCAGCTCTCTCAGCCTTTCTTCATAGGAGAGGTGCTCCAGAGCTCTGATCATCCGCATGGCCCTCCCTGGACCTGCTCTAACAAGTACACATCTTTTTGTGCTGGGGTCCCAGACCTGGACACAGTATTCCATGTGGGGCCTCACAAGGGCAGAGCAGAGGGGGACAATCACCTCCCTAGAACTGCTAGCCACATCTCAGTTAATTCTATTATATGGAATAAGTAAAAGTTTACTCTTTATCTCTATAGTTCTTTCTGACTTTCTGTTTCCATGTGCACTCTGCAGACCTGGCAGAATTATCAAGCTTGATAAAAGAAAGGAATTCTAGTAAAACATATAACAAATATAAAAAAGATATAAAAAGGTGGCTTTTAGAGTCACTGTCTAGTTTCTAAGTAGCATCTCATTGTTACTTTGTACATCCCTTCTGACTGCAGATATACATATAAGATATACATATATCTGCATATTTTATATGTATACATGTATATATATGTAAGATTAAATGTCTTAAACACTCTTGAGACTAAAAATATTAAACACTCTAGGACATGGAATATCTTTTGTTTTCTGAGTGTATAAATTCTCACTTTACTCTGAAAAGTGTAAGGTGAGGTTTTCTCATACCCAGGATAATCTAAATAATAAATAACATAAATATGATATTTCATAGTCTTAAAAATGGATGGCTAGTAAAGATCTAGAGATAAACTTGCCCCAGGCAGGCTCAGGTTATCTACCTAAAGTGTTATTCACTTCAGATAGTGAGAAAGATTATCTCTTTCTTTTCATGTCACGCCTCAGCTGGGGCTCCAATTAGGGTATCACATGGAAATACAATTCTGAACACTGCAGTAACAGTCCTGTCTTACTACAACTTCAGGAATGTGCTGCAGTCAGCTAAAGATGCTTGTGCCTTATAACACAGGCTTTTACCTGTTACTACAAATACAGGCCTTTTGGTTACTTTACTTTGTTTGCACAGCTTCTTATAAGCTTTCCTGTTCTTTTGACAGGGACTACGCCAGAAATACGAACAGTGCTCCATTTCTGTAGCCAGGCCTTTTATATTTCTGTGCAATGAGTGAATTTTTGCACTTTCTTGATGTCTTTCTGTCTAACAGATAATATCTCTAATATGCATTCGTTAAAAAGCCAGGAGTCACACAGCACAAATACGATGCACAAATAAAACACTTCCTTGGCTAAAAACAATAATGGAGACTCTGGGCTGTATTCCTTTCTGTTTCAGAGAAAAACGATGTAATCAAACCACCAGCTGTGGCCATCTTTTCCCCATCAAAGCAAGAGATCCAAGAGAAGAGCAAAGCCACACTGGTATGCCTGGCCTCTGGTTTCTACCCCGACACCCTCAATTTAGTCTGGAAGGTGAATGGTGCTGAGAGGACAGAAGGGGTGGGTACAGATGAGACTTCCACATCATATGGGGATACTTATTCACTGACCAGTCGACTGCGAATCTCATCCCAAGAATGGTTCAACCCTTTGAATCGTTTTGAGTGTGTTGCCAATTTTTTTAAGAATGGAACACAGGAATCAATACACAAATTCATCTATGGTGATGCTGGTAAGTAAAAAAAAAATAAAATAAAAAGAGCATAATCATCATCATGGTGTACAAACTAGAAATCACTTAAAGTGGGAAAAAGGCTATGGGTTACTTATTTCTATGTACAGTGGTGTGTTCATGGCATGAATTATATGTAAATGTGTACCTATTTCCATATATCTCTTTATATTCCCAGCCCTGTGTATCTGTTATTATCATTATATATCTATGAATTTTCAGAGGTTTCTTCAGATTTTCTTAGTGTAAATATATAGTAAAATATTTATTATGATATAATATATACTATATTTATATTTTATACTATATATATTTACTGTACTAAATATATACTGATGTAAAATATATAGTATAGTAAAATAAATACTGTGAAATTAAACTTCTAAAATTTGTGTTATATTCACATTGAAGAGAAACGTAACTTTCAATTCATTTTTGTCTTTCAGGATGTGCACTTACTGAAGGTATGTGTGTCTTCTCGCAAGCAAGTAAATATCTGCATTTATTTCAATTCCAGTTTTGCTGATGTTACGTACAAGGGAAATGAGATATTTATATAATACCCCAGAATTCTTAATATTTCTTATTATTGAATTCAGAATGTTTCTTATTAAAAGTCACATCTTTCCTTCAAACTGTGAAGATATTCATATAAATAATTATGATTATTTCCTCTGTGTATTCGTAATTACATATTCTTGGTTTTGACCAACTTCTTTACCGCTTCAAGTATCTGAAGGGTGAAATGAAATCAGGCTGGTTTCTCAACACTACCACTGTACGTTGAGAGTGAAAAACATGTAAGAATGAAAGGCTAGATTCCAGGTTATTCTGGACTAAGTAAAACTTTGCTTATATATCTGCATTCACAAGGCTACTGAAAATAATGAGTGAAAAAAAAAATAAAAAAATAAAATATATATATATATATATATATCTTGTGATTCAGTTTAATTTCAGTTCCTAAGGGTGATTAACAAGACCACCCTAGTTTTTCAATGTGTGGTAACACAATGGTTAAATGTTCCCAATTAAGACATAGTCTTTTAGAATAAAGCCAGTCTATGTCTTTTCTAGGGTCATTTTCTCCTTTGGTTCTTTGAATCACAATGTTCTATCTGCTCCTGTGCTATCACAGGTGTTAACATAGCTATTTATTTGGCTCTAGTTCCTTTGCTTTGCTTAGGTAAAGATTTCAAGAATTCTTATTTGATTAAAGCTACATTAGATCAGTCTCTCCTGATGATGATAATTCAATACAACAATGATATTTGGTTTGCAGAGTCCTACATGCTGCATGGAAATTCTCTGAAGCTCACTTACCTTATTCTCTGTGGGAAAGCCTTCCTGTATGCTATTTTGGTGTGCACTCTGATGTTGACAGCCAAGGTAGGCTTGTGTATCACTTCCAAGGTGATTTTGTTCACTAGTACAAGCATAAGACAAAACCTACTTTCAGGCATGGAGTGTTCTCCATATACTCTGCAGAGCTATGTCCTGCCTTGTTTGAAAAATCACAAGTGCTGAATTTTCTATTACTGTTCTTCCACATCTCAAACAAAATCAGTGCTAACACAGCAATTCCTTCTAGAAATATTCTTTAAACACATGGAAAAAGAAGAACAATTATGTACAACTCACCCAGAAAGTAAAAAAATGAAATATCATATATATCATACTTTTCTATAAGCACTGAAAAGAGACACATACCTGCAGTGAAAGTAATAAACAGGGGTTTGAGGAGATATGTGCAATGAATGGGATAAATCTGAAGAAGTGGGAGAAGTTTAAATAGCTAGTAACTGCCATTAAATACTTTTTATCCATGAGCTTCTCATACATCTAGCAGATAATTACAGTAAGAGTAGTGGAAGTCTCAGCATCTGTTCCTTTAGAAACAGGACTGGGAGGTATGTTTGAAAAGGGACCTGACAGAGCTGAGAGCATGAACAGAACCTCAATTATTTTCAAGGCTTTTTTGTCTCCTTTTTGAAGGCTGCTTGAGGAAGTAGGTTTGTACTTTACTGGGTCACAATGATCTGTGAAAATTCATGTGTAAAACTATTAGGTCAGGATGTAAGAAAATATTATGTACAGGTTAAGATACTTTCTTGCTACAAAGAGAGGATGAAAACATAGAGCTACAACATGCTCATTTTTGTTAATATTCTCAGGAAACACAACAGTTTAGACACTGATATATCAGGTCTACTGTTTCCTAGATTGTTGTATTTTTGGGTTTTGCTTGTTTGTTTATTCTGTTTTGTTTCCATTTAGGCTGGTGGCACACTGTATACAGAATGAATGAATAACCCTCTCCATTGCATCATCAGGACCAAAGCAAATTCTATTTTTTACTGTATAAAGGATCCAAGCTTCTGTCTAAGATCTTCTTTGTTTCTTGTGTTTCTCTGTTCCCTCCTGTTCTTTCTAATTTGTTGTAATCACTGGTGGGTTTTCCATGGACATCCAAAAAGATCTCTGTCATAGCTTTAAAACTAACACCTTGTTGCTTAGAGAGCTGCATCAAGTTGCATCAGCTCCTTGAACTGGGAATAAAGTTTTATCTTTGTTCCATTTGAGAAGCTTGAATTTTTTTTTTTTTTTAATTTTTTTATTTTTTTTTGTAGCAATAGTCTTCTACACCACAAGTTCCAGTGACCTGTTGTGTTGTGAGGAACTCACATTAAAAAAAACATTCACAAACAGTCCTGAGAGAAACTGTCTATCTCTTATGAAAATATTAGAAGGCTCATCCACTGCTGATACTGTATACCAGCAACTGGAGTGGACTCCAAGCTTCAGAAGCTTGCACAGTGCAGTCCAGTGACTGCAAGAGGGGTTACCAAACAGACTGCATGTCTAAGTCAAGTTGCTGGGAGATGCATAGTACATATGTGTAGGTCCCAGTGTGTGTGCAGGTGTGTGGGGTAACTGGAAGTTAGTATCTGTGAATGGGAGAGTCTGTACCAGGGAGTGGAGTGGGACTGCAGGCCTCAGGGGCTCAAATGTCCAGCTACGAGGATGTGAGGATGTGAGGAGCTCAAGGATCCAGGGCCAGCTCCTAGACACACAGAATGTCTAAGGCCAGCTACTAGAGGGATCCATACTATATATCCCTCCTGATCAGACCTTTATCCTGATCTGCTAGAGGGGCACAGAATGAGGCTAGAACAGCCATTTTTCTGTTGGATTCAGTAACCCCAACTAAAATAATTGGAACTTATCATTCCCTCCTAGAGCATTCTCTCCTTCATCTTGGGGCACCTAGGACATCATCAACCCATGCACAGCATTGGTTAGGTGACCAGTGGTACGTTTTGTGTTAACAGTCTTGCTATGCTTCATCCCTACTTTGTCAACAGTTTTTGTGCTACAGCAGTTCATAAATTGAGAAGATGGATCCAACCTCAGTCTAAATGAAGAAAAAAAAAATGGGGGTTTAGGTAGAAGGGGTATTCCTGTGATTTGACAGTCATAAATTTACTGGGGGCCAAGGAAGAAAAAAATAGTAAGTTTTTTGTAATGTTTTGGTATTGCCTACAATACCACACGTTGCCAGCTGTGAAGTATGGAAGCATTTGCACACCAACACAGATCCCACATTCAGACCATTATTTTGATCTTTTTATTATGAAATGAACCCTCACTGCTGATACATAAGGGACTAACTTCTGCCCTTCTCTCTCATCTTAGAAGCCAAAGTCTAAACAGGTGATAAAAACTGAGTTTCTCTTTCCCTTATATTACAGAAGACAAGTTAAGGGTAAATTCAAGAAAATTAACTTCACAAACTTACCCGGGCAAAAGAGAGTTTACATTTATTTCAGGGCAGGAAAACAAGAAAATTCCAAACATGTATTTAACTCCTGCATAAAGTTAAACACTCACAGGACATGCATAAAAGGTACTCCATCTACTCTGTCTACTCCAACCAATGCTGGCCACTGTTGCTCAATCACCGCTATATACCAGGTTCAGGTTACACAGAGCTCATACAGTGGCCCAAGACTTCACTAAATTTACTTAGGTCAAACAATAGCTACCTTAAATACCAGCAGCTTGTTTCTCTTTCAGTACCAATGAATAAAGCCTGACTGTATTCTTAAAACCATACCACATATATTTCTGTACATTGGTGAGATTCCACCCTTAGTCTTCCATTCTCCAGTCTAAACAGTCGCAGGTCCCTCAGCCTTAGCAGTTTCTTAATCATGTTAGTGGCCCTTCGCTGGACTCTCTTCAATATTTCCACATCTTTCTTGTATATTGGAACCCAGAAATGGGCACAGCAGTTCATATGTGGCCTCACCAGAGCTATGTAGAGGGAAAGATCACCTCTTTCAACTTATTAGCAACACTCCTAGGGCAGCCGAGGACACAATTAGCTTTCTTTAGACTGGGCCAATGGGCTGAGGCCAACTGTATGAAGTTCAACAAGGCCAAGTGCCAGGTCCTGCACCTGGGGCACAACAACCCCAAGCAGAGCTACAGGCTGGGAGATGAGTGGTTGGAAAGCTGCCAGGCAGAGAAGGACCTGGGAGTGTTGGTTGATAGTCGGCTGAGTATGAGCCAGCAGTGTGCTCAGGTGGCCAAGAAGGCCAACAGCATCCTGGCTTGTATAAGAAGCAGTGTGACCAGCAGGGCTAGGGAAGTGATTGTCCCCCTGTACTTGGCTCTGGTGAGGCTGCACCTCGAGTGCTGTGTTCAGTTTTGGGCCCCTCGCTACAAGAAGGACATCGAGGTGCTCGAAAGAGTCCAAAGAAGGGCAATGAATCTGGTGAGAGTTCTGGAGAAAAAGTCTTACAAGGAGCAGCTGAGGGATCTGGGCTAGTTCAGCCTGGAGAAGAGAAGGCTCAGGGGTGACCTTATTACACTTTACAGGTACCTTAAAGGAGGCTGTAGTGAGGTGGGGATTGATCTATTTTCTCACGTGCCTGGTGACAGGATGAGGGGGAATGGGTTAAAGTTGTGCCAGGGGTGATTTAGGTTGGATATGA